CACATATTCAATGTTTCAAATTCCCCAAATATCTCATTTGTTGGTATAATATAACTGAGAACATGATTATAATCATTTATTGGTACTATATTTTCGGTTAGATTTTTCAAACTGTCAACGAAAAATGAATCAAAATATCCTGCTACTTTTGCTTCATTTGTTACAAGAACACTATCAAATTGTATACCTTTGAACTCTTGTTTTCTATTTCCCTTTACTAAACCTTTCAGTGCTTTCCACATAGTCCTACTGTTTCCTTTATTTTCGTCAATCTTTGATTCATAATACTTTTTAGTTTCAATTCGTATCTTTTTGGTAACGAGATTACGACTTATTTGATATTTATCCCAATCACATTGTAGTTTGTATATTGATTGTAAAACTATTGGTTTCTTTTTAGTTTAAGAACTACTTTATTGTTCATTGTGACTGACATGTTCTATATCCAATAGGGTCTCTGAATGAAATATATGATTGATTGATTGAGTGCAAAGTATAGCAAAGATATTTTATACTTATACTTTTCCAGAAGATGTACCAAATAGAATGGATGTAACACCACGAAAAGCAGAAGAGGATGAAATACCCTCTCAGGAAAAGAAGACTGAAAGTATTTTCTCAGAAACGTCCAAAGACTTGAATGTCTCAACTGAGAAGGATCAAGTCAATAAACAAGATTCTTCTAAAGAATTTACCGCCAACAAAACCAAGGGTCTATTTGATTCCGGAAGCGAGTCGGACAATGATTTGTTCAGCTCTTCCCAAGCTAAGTCTAAAAAGATAAAAAAATTGTTCGATGATGAATCGAGCGATGAAGATTTGTTTTCGACTGCTAGCAGCTCTAGTATTACGAAAACGAAAGGTGAGTTCTTAAAATACTATGAAGTGTTTTTCTTTTCAGGGATCATTCTTTTGTTTCAGAGTCTGTGTTCAAGTCCTCCAATAAGACAATTCATAAACCAGCATCTGTAAAAAAACTTGAAAATATTCAGACTTCTGAAGATCCTTTATCTAACTTATTCTGAAAGGTCGTCGCGGTGGTACGAATTTTCTTCCTCATTCGAGAGGTGTATTATTTCTATAGAGTTGTTCATATATGAAAACTCATTAATATAGTGCACACTTGCAAACCGCGGACATGTGTTTCTGGCCATTAGCCTCATCAGCGTGATGCAGCAAAGTGCATAGATGGGCAACACCTGGTTTCCGGAAACAGAAAACAACACTATGAATGAAGTCAACATCAGGAGCCTACGTGGACATGTTAGTTGTTTCCTACGAATGCTAGGTCTTTTTTTTCAATAGTAACGATTTATTTTCCCAAGAAACATACATTTATTTGCTATGTATAAATGTGTTTGACATTCTATTTTATATAGACAAGATTTTAGCTACTACTTTTATACTACTGTTGTTTGTCAACAAGAACTTTTTCTTGAGACAATAAACTTATTTCTCTCTCTCTCTTTCTTTCTCATGTTTATAGTAGGAGCAAGAAAACAATAATTCAAAATTTTAACATAACTGGGAACGAACAGAGCACCAAAAAAAAAAGAATATCTTGACATATGGTTGTGTTGGTCACCAATGATTTGAAACTCATATTTGAATGTTTGAGCTTATTTTTGACCAAACAAATAAAGGTACATAATTTGAATTTATGTAAGGATTACAAATCTAATAGTTTTTTTTTGGTTTATACAAGTTGATTGTAGGCTCCTTGTAGTTCACTATTTTTCTCCATGCGGGTGGAAATTACTGATTTTCTTTCTTGATGCTTATTTATGCTATACAAAGAACCTACCTGCATATTTAAAAATTCTAGGTTCAGTAGTTATACTTTTACTTTAAAAATACAGTAACTAAAAAAATATACCAACTTCAGTAAGTAATGAGTAGTTTCGAGAATCGAATTATGTTACCTTTAAAGAAATTCGTTAAACTAACACAACCGTCAACGACGTCTGTTATGACGCGCCTGCTCGCGTTCGGGTCGGTTCTCGGTGTTGGCGCCTCATTGCTTAGACCGCTCCTCTACCCCGCCCATCAACCCTGTCGTCTTACAGTAGACGCGACGCGTAATGGCTTACTGCGTTGCGTTAAGTTTTAAATGATGATAAAGTTTATCGATTTTGAATATCTAATACAAGTGTACCGATTTTTATAAGAATTTGACAGATATTCTGAAATGTGGATTGTAAAAAAAGTATATCCAATTTAATTGTATAATCTGACCAAAATGAAATCTTACTAAAAGAAATGAGCACAATGAAGATCAAGATGCAATTATGTTTTTCCGTGTAAGCGAAATGCTTTCATTTTTGCTTTGACATGAGCCAGCAATTGTATTTCTTTTGGCAACCAACTGTCGACCATCCTTGCACTTGGCCGCACCATACTGATGATGGGCCAAAATTCCAAAACACGTGTCTATGGTTCGCCTCTTTCTTGAGTGCCATGTCCGATGAGTAATCTTCTATATTTATATCATGACAATCAATAACCTTTATATCTGTATGATTTCCTGGACCCGGATGTCACGCAGGTAGTTATAGCTGCCTTCGTGGTAATTTCAATAATCTTTTTGTTTACACAAGATCTATTATTTGAATCCACAAATGTGCAACTGACTTCTGCTGATGGCTCCGTGCATTTGTATTTCTTTTGACAATTAAGTGTTGTTCATCCTTGCACTTGGCTGCACCATACTGATGAATGATCAAAAGCCCGAAACACGTGTAAATTGAATTTGAAATGTGTTTGAATGTTGGGCTGGAGTTATGGATTCTTGAATAGCACAATAGTTGATCAGGTGGTAGGTGCATTTTGAGTATTTCCATCAGTCCTGAGAGTTTCATTGTTCCACCTCGAATATTACGGAAGATACGGGGGTGTTTCCATGAGAAGTGAGACACACTGTATGCAGTCGAATATAATTCCGTATCCAGCGTGGCACGAGCCAGGAAAGTAGTTGTTTTCCGGCAGCCATTTACCATAACCTAGTTGGGAGAGATCAATATTTCCAGATTTTATTTACAAATACTTATTTTCTAGTACGTATGTACCTCTCCTTGATGCAGTCTTTTGCACGGTTTGATCTCTATTAATTTTTACTGACTTGTGACCTATATAAATTTTCATTACTCATACAAATATACGTGGGTTCAAAATGGGTTTGAAAGGAGTTTTCCCCAAAAAAATGAAACTTGTCAGAGAAGGATGTCATACGCCATAGCTATTATTCAATGTTTGCAGATGATCTCAAACTTTACAGGGTTGTGAATAACTTTTATGATGCAGAACTGTTACAGATATATTTAAATAACTTATCTCGTTGGTATGATGAAAACATGCTTCATTTAAATATAAATAAATGTTATCAAATAACATTTTCAAGAGCTGTGAAACCTATTGTAGGTATATCCATATAAAATCAACATTAATCTAACGTTGACTAACAGCGTTCGGGACTTGGGAGTGTTGTTTGATAGCAAAGTAACCTTTAAAGGTCATATTGATCACATTATAATCTAAATCACTCAAATTATTGGGATTTGTTCAAAAATCTACAGATACATTTTCTAAAGATACCTTTAAAATGTTGTACTGTTCTTTGGTACGCTCGGTCTTGGAAAATAATTGCGTGATATGGAGTCCTCTATATCAGATAGATATATCTATGTTTGAAAAAGTACAAAACAAATTTCTGAGATCATGTGCATTTAAGCTCGGATATATGAGTTCCGGTGCTTTGGAGCACCGCCGCGCTGAAATTGATTTAAGACTTCTTCATAAAGTTATAAATGGTGATATGAATGGTCCGTTTGTAACACAAATGATTAACTCCAATGTAAATTCAAGAAGAACCAGAGTGTCGGAGTTGTTCAAAGTTCCTTACCATTCTACTAGCTATGGCTTAAATGACACCATCACGAAAATGCTTAGGTTGGCAAATAAGAATAGCAGCTATATTGATTTGTTTGACTCATCCTTCTATTCTTTTTAAAATCAGATTAAATGTATTGACCTGCTGATTATTATTATTAATAATTAATTGATATTTGTTTTTTTTTGTATTCTATATAATTATTCAATTGTTTATTTTTTCAATCACACTATTTATGTGTTCATTGCATAATGGCAAGTCCGTAAATAAATAAATAAATAGATAAATAAAGCCTTTACCTTTAAATCTTTCAATTTATGCGAAATCTGGATAAAGGCTTACAATGAATTGAGAATGTCCAGATTTTGTATTTTAATTCGACTACAGGTGAACCTATTACATTTTTAAAATTCAAATGCCAGCTGGGTTCAAGACTATCGATCCTCCTAAACTATTTGATAAGCCAAGTAAATAAAACATCTGCTGAATAACAATAAATATATTAGGTCAAAAAACAACTGTACAGAATATGAATTCACTATATAGAATGGAGATTTATAGAACTTAGATGACAAATTATGACTTCAAGATGTGCTGAAAATTGTATTATATGTCAAACGGTGATTAAAGTGTTCCAAAAAAATGTTTTGGAATTTTATGATAACAAGATATCCTCAATAGGAAACAAGTCTTGCTCTCCAATATGCTGGTTTCTACTAATCTAATGCCAATCAGCAAAGGACCAACATACTTTCCGTTCCATCTATGATTTTCTCTGCAAGCAGACAACTAAATGATACCAGAACCCATCAGGCATCTATGGCATTTCAATATGCCATAGATCCCACCAGAGGTATCTGGCTGGGTCATGAATGCAACGTCTGAAGTTATTCTGTCCTCTGTAGAACATTCCTAAAAGGTGGCGATGGTAGATACACTCACTGTGAGATAAGGACAACGATTTTTTTCTGGAAGTGTGATGGTCCATTCAATTTCGTTTACTTTGGATATACTTTTCGTTGAAATAATAATAATAGTAATAACTCAAAAATTCAATAAGTAATAATGTGGATAGTAGAATTTAGGGTATATTTTTTAGAGATAGGAAAACATTGCGTTTTTTTGGCTTTCACCTAGTTACATTTCGTATTTTCATATAAATGTTCCAAAGAGGTGTAACCATTATTTATAATACACGACACATCCGTTTTCAACAGATGAATTCATTCAATGAACACATAAAAATGCAAATATAACAATAAATAACAAACTTTCAATAACAAAGCTAAATAACTACTCGCTCTACAATCAGACTATCGATATTGCACATGCGTTTCATCAAAACATTGGTTCAAAATACTCAGAATACTTTTTAGAAATTAAGAATTATTATTCCTTGCATACCTGACATAACCACTATTCTGAACATTTCTGTACAATCTATTAATTTGTGATTTGTATCCGTCCCTCAAATGATTATCCCCGTTGGAAAAGTACTGATATGGAAACTTTGGTGGCACTCTTTGTCTTCCAGAGTGATTCACTTTTGGTAACTTCCAGTTGTTCTTATTCGCTTGACGCTGAGGAAGTTGGTAAGAAGAATATGTACTCAAACCAGGTGTTGTCATTGGTTTTTTATTCGATTTGAAAGTTCCAGGAATAAAAGGTTGTGAATTAGTTCCTTTAGGTTTACTTTTCACCGGCTTGAATCCTGTTTCAAGAAGCGGTTCATTTATAGAATCTTTGGCTTTGTAGTACTCTCCAAGATACTTATTGAGTTCCTCTTGAGAGAGCTCATAGGAAGGTTGAATATTGGCATCTTTGATGGGATACTGCTGCTGCTGAAGCTGTCGATGTTCAGTGTATTTGGGTCTATAGTCATATTTGTTTTCATTTACATCTACTTCTATTGGTTTGATGAGACTAACATCTACTGGGACTAATTTCTCCGAAGAATCCGTTTTAAGTAGACTCAGATCGACTGGCAGGGAGGAAACTGCCAGTTTTTCGTATTCAGCTTTGGTCGTGACTTGCGAACTCAAATCATTATGAGTGAGTTGGGGCTTCTGGTAACGGTATTCTGATTTGATTGATGCTTGCTGCGATTCTTCTGCACTTTCCTCGTGAGGAAAGAAAACGTAGTTCTCTTTTCCATTGTTCTCTTGTTCTGCGAGATAGGTCTGTTCAGCTAGTTCTTCCTGATACTTGGCAGCATCTACTGCTTCCTTTCCAGCTTCAGAGCCATCTGGATAAACATATTTGATCTCATATTGAGGCTCATGAGAATATTCCAGCGAGTGTGTCTCCTTGGGTCTCAGATTGAGTTCTGAGTGACTGATTGGTTGTTCTTTTGATAGTTGAGGATGGTGTGAAGGACCACTGTGCTTGACTACAGCATTGAAACCGTGCTTCTTGTCTGCGGTGTAGTCTACGGATCTCACAGAGCCGTCTGGTTCTAGTAGAGAGTAGTGCCCGGTTACTTTGTCGCCATTTTTCTTTTCCCACTGGTGTTTGAAGTCTCCGGTGTGTTGATCATTCACTCCGTAGCTGAAGCTATAGTCTGTCTCTTTCTGGAAATATAAAGTATGTGTCATAATTTAACATCAAACTTGTATATGTCAATGAATATGTAATGAAAAATACACAGAACCAGAGAAAATTTGGAAGTCAAAGTATTTTATTACTCAACATACTCTTCTCTTAATCAGATAATTGTAATAAATATAACAGCGAGCCTGCAATGTCTAGAACATCCAAAAAATATACAGGGTGGCCCAGTTGAAATGAAATAAGGCCATTTTCTCATGAATGGCATGCGGAAGAAAATTGCACAGAATTTATTATCGACCTTATCATTTTCAACTTCAAATAAAAAGAGATGTATCATATCAAACATTCCCAAATTGTGATGAATGAAGCTGATTTGGTAGTTTTCCGCAGATGCCTGTGTAAAACTACCAAGTTCCTACGCTTAGGGAAAGCAAGCACTATCAGGTTAGCAAGGATTCTTTCCGAAAATAAACTCATAAACTTGGATTTTTTTGGAAAAAGGTGAAAAATTACAAGTGAATATTATTATACAAGTGATTATTATTTATATTTCACAACAGAAATGAGTTTAAAAATCATCAACATGGATATGAAACCCGACTCAAAGCGAGTAACCTAGTTATACCGAAAATGAACAAAGTATTGGACAAAGATCAATTACATACATTGGACCCAAATTATTCAATCTTGCTCCAGATCATATAAAAACGGAATATGTGTTTAAGTTATTCAAAATTTCAGTGATCAAATGGCTCAAAAATGAAAATATAACATTACTATAAACAAATTCTACTGAATTAATGTCTCAATTTTCATATATATTTATCATAACTACCTAGCATTTTGAATACCTACTTTTAATTTAAGACGAGTTTGTATTTTATATTGTAACATTCATGTTTTTATACGTTTACACATTTGAATTTTTACTTTTTATATGTTTTACATTATGTACATGTTTAGAGATTTTATACTTTTAGATATTTATATTCAATGTGCCTTTATTGTAGTATACCTACTAAGAATATTATTCACTACTTTTTTAGGAAAAGATAATATCGAAATTGTTAATACTATTGACAAATATAAGCACTAAAATGTTTTGCCCGAGTAACTCAAAATACATTATATGTTGACCATCTTTGAAGGAAAGAATTTCGATACCTATGTTTCCTCTAATAAAAATTCAATAATAAGACTCGTTTTTATAAACCTTTCCTTATATCTATATCAATCGCCCAGCTTTTCCGTTGTATGCTTTTATAAATACTTACATGTAATTTAGTGATTAATAAACTATTACTACTACTATATTTATCGATGGAACACCAGCCTATTCGACTACTTAAGATAGGACTCTTGAAGAAAATGTGGACCTATAGAGAAGAATTTCAATCTATCATTTATATGGAAGAAACATATATCATATATTCACGCACGCACCAATAGGTTGGAGTGACTATACCATTAAAAGACTGAGAAAACATGTTGTTAATGCTCTGATCATAATACAAGCGGCTGGTGAAAATGGATTTGTGCCTACTGCTTACAATAGATGGAAATCAAATTGTAATACAGATGGCGGTCGGTCGGTAGCCGATCGGTTCGACGTGGGTGCTTTGTTCACTCACTCAAATCAACCGCCGTGTTGGTCGGTGGTTCAAGCCCCAGGCTGAACGATCGATTTTCACTTGCTATCGTCCAACCCGTGTTAGGAATCACACGTTAAAAGGTAAGACCTCGTTAATCCTTAGCTCGCACAAGTTTAGACTTCTGAGGGTTGTCGTTCGTAGGGGTGTGACAGCTGGTTAACGGAAAAACAGATTTTTTAAACAGATGATGAATTTTGATAATCATAAGAAATGGGTGGCGGAACAGTTGATTCCGAATTTGCCGTTAAAAAGCGTCGTGGCAATTGATAATGCACTACATCATTATAAATAAATCGACAAAATGCCAACGACATCGACTAGGAGAGCCAATATGGTATGCAATCATGGTTATCGAAGAGAACTACTCCATTTGAGAAAAAATTGATGAAACTTGAATTATATGCCCTCAAATAGCTACAAGCCAAAATTCAAGCAGTATGGTATAATAAAGTTGTACGATTACCGCCATATAATCCGGATTTCGATGCAATTGAGTTGGTCTGGGCCGGACTGAAAGATTACGCGGCAGATCAAACTGTTACTTTCAATTTAAAGTTTCTCTTTGAGCAATGGATATCTCGTTGTGAATGAGCAAAAACATTTGGGGATGGTTTCATGTCAGATAAACACACGATAGACATCATCGTGGATGATCTGATTAGTGATTTACATTATGAGTTTCAGAAGATGAAGATGGTAATCTCTCCGGAATCGAAACTCTTCCTGACAAAAACTACGTATCGACAGTGAGCGAAAAATAATATCATAATCTTTAGGCAACCAATCTACGAAAATATTATACAGTGTATTACTTTAAAGTCCCCCCCTCCCTTTTATTTTTTGAACGGGTAAACTCAAAAAATTGAAATTTGGGATAATGAAATCAATGCATGAATACTTTATTTTGAAGTGAAATTGACAGATGAAACTTTCAAGATGGCGACTGGGCGCCATCTGGGAAAAAAATTAAATGGAAAAGAGGAGCTTTTTGAAGCTCCTGACAAATGCTTCATAACCCTAGAATATAATGGCAATACCTTCAACTACTACAAAATGGCGGAACTTTTAATAATTGTCTGAATATAATGACATTTAACTACATAATAACGGGTAATAAGCTAGAGGTCAGTTCAGGATGAGATGCTCGAAATTGTTGCCTTGAACTTCTTGACATATGAATAGCCTATCCGATATTTCACGCCGAACATTTTCGAACATAGTGACGTCAATATCTCTACAAATATTTATTATTCTCTGACGTATATCCAATATTGAAGCAGGATCAGTTTCGTACACCGTTCGCTTCAAATAGCCCCATAAAAATAATTCCAAAGGTGTCAAATCTGGCTAGCGGGCTGGCCATTCTATAGGACCTCGACGGCCAATCCAACGACCGTGAAAAGTAGTATCCAAATAGTTTCTTACTTGTCTGGAGTAATGTGGTGGTGCTCCATCTTATTGGAATACAATATCCATATAGAATTCATTAGGATTCGCTTCGACGATTTCAGTGATGAGAGAGCCAACAGTAGTTTCCAGCATATTCAAATACAGTTTCCCTGTTAAATTTTGATCAATAAACAGAGGTCCTACAATATGGTTTCCCCATATTCCTGCTCAAACGTTATTTTTTTCTGGATATTGGGTATGTGTTTCCCGGAAAACGTGACGGTTTGTGTCACTCCAATAAAGGCAATTTTGTCTGTGAAAATTGCCGATTAAAATAAATGTACATTCGTCACTAAAACAAATATTGTGGAGATAGGTAGGATGCCTTGCAATGATTTCCGTCATGATTTCGCAGAATTCTGTTCTTCGATCAGGCCATCTTCAGTTAGTTGGTGTACCATTTTAATTTTGTATGGATATGATACCTATTCCTCTTTCAAAAGTCTCCACACAGTAGAAGGAGACATCTCACAAACATTCGCGATGGAATAAGTAGACTGTTCAGGATTTACTACCATCTCACCAATTATTTGAACTTGCTGTTCTTCCGGAATGGACAGATACTCTGAGATTATACTCGTACATATTTATGTTCCTGCGGTTGACACTTATAATTAGTTCCGGCTAGTCTTGGTGTTTCGCTAATGAATCTTTCAACGATTTTCTTTCCGGGTTAATGAGGGCAGATACAGCCTGCTATGGTATGCATATATATGTGGACTGTTAAAAAAATAAGATGAACGTTAAAATTTCGCGGGCTATGTACATTCGAATAGCGATTTTTTTCTTTCTTTATGTTGGTATACTCGTCTCGAATATATGTTCACAGTTTCAGCTGTTTAGCATGTTTAGTTTTTCGGTGAGAGGCATAAAAGTTGAAAGTATTTTGCGTGATTGGCGATTTTCTGCTATAGAAAAAAATAGATCGAATTGAGTGCTGCTCATAAACACTTGAAATATTGACAGCGGCATATGGTGATTGTCCTCTGAGTCAGAGAAATGTTTAGAAGTGATACAAGCTTTGGACAGAAGGTCGAGAAGATATATCTGAGGACGGTTGCCTGGACGCTCCATCACACCAACAGCTGATGAAAATGTTGAGAAAACTGTTTTGTGAAGAAAATTGTTATGGATAATCGGCATATCGGTTGGCTCATGTCATGTAATTTTTTCGTAAATTTTGGGCATGAAGCATGTGTCAGCGAAGTTCCTTGCTAAAATTGCTGAATTTTGACCAAAAAAACCGTCGCATATATGAGCATTGCTCAGAATTTGTTGAATGACGTCAACGGCGTTCCAGATTTGCATAAAGGGGTCATAACTGGTGACGAATCGTGAACATATGGTTCAGACATCGAAACCAAAGTCCACTCGTTTCAATCGAAGAGCCCAGGAGAGCCAAGACCAAAAAATTATGCCAAGTTCAATCAAGTTTCAAAGTTCTGCTCACTATTTCTTTCGATCATCATAGCGTAGTGCATCAGGAGTTTCTGCCACATGGTTATACGGCCAATATGAAGTATTATCTTGAAGTATTATGAGCCGCTTGCGAGAAGCAATACGAAGAAAACGTCCGGTATTGTGGAAAAACAATCTGCGGCTTTTGCACCACGATAATGCACCTGCTCACTCATCATTGCTTGTTCGTTATGATGCCACAGCCACCGTATTCACCAGATTTGGCCACCTGCGACATTTTCCTGTTCCCAATATTTAAGAGACCCATGAAAGGACGAGGATTGAAAAAAACACTTGCACAAGTGTGTTATATTTCATCTCTTAATATTCCGAGTTCATAGACATCGAAATTGATACGATCACAGAATATAGAAATATAAAACAATCTCCAAATACGCAAACTTTGCACAGATTGCATACTGAGAATTTTACCTTAGTACAGTGACCGGATCAATTTTGCAATGTCAGCGTATACATCTTTTTAAATATTGAGGGAGGTCAAGATCATTAAAGAGACAGTATTGAGAAATTAATTCAGTATCAAATTGATCTTCAGAAAAGGTTACAGCAATGCAGCACATCTCTTTTTCTTCGATCCTGCTGGGTGGCAGTATAATGTAAGTTTTTGGTGATTTTTTGATTAACATTTTAGTGTAAGTTTATTCCTGAAGTATTTTCCCCATTTCGTTACAATAAATATTCAAGTTTATAAATGAGTTCTTTTATTATTTTGGATGAATGATGAATGGGTGAAACAGCGAATAAAATCCTCTCGTTAATGAGCCAAGCGAGTACTGAGTTGCGACAATATCCGAGGGAGACTACTTTGAAGGGGACAAAATTGAAATTGATGCATAAATCATTATTTATTTTTTGAGAAAAATGAAAATTCGCCCTATTTTTTTGAACAGGCCTGGTATAGGTGAAATTTATGTTTAATTCTGTCAACACAAAAATTGATCATTCGTTCATCAAAAATGATAAAAAACTAATCAATACAGTTTATTGTATGATTTTCACTCTAAGGGTTTTACAAAAACCGCGACACGTGTTTCGCTATACAATAGCTTCTTCAAGCATAAAAGAAATGTTTAGAAGTGATACAAGCTTTGGACAGAAGGTCGAGAAGATATATCTGAGGACGGTTGCCTGGACGCTCCATCACACCAACAGCTGATAAAAATGTTGAGAAAAGTCCCTCTGAGATTAAATGACTGGCATATGTGGAATTTATTTTTCCATTCTGAAAACTATTTAAACTATATTTGTGTTCCTTTATGCGGGTTTTGAACGTTCTTTCAGTTTGACCTTTATAAAACATAGGACATGACCCACACGATAATTTATACACTCCTGATTTTCCTGAAACTGAACTTTTATCTTTGTTATTTTTAATGTGCATGCCCAAGTTGTTGTTGGTTTTGAAAGCAGTCTTTACACCTTTGCTGTGCAGAAAATCTGAAATATCCTCTTCTCTTCGAATTGGTTAAACTTCTTTCAAAGCTTGACTATATAACTTTTTTGATAATAAAGAAGGTATCAGACCACTATCATAATCATTGTTGACGGCTATTTGCTATATTATATTCAGTTCTTTGTAGAAATTCGCTTCTGACAAGGGTACATTTATCAGTCTGTGGATCATACTGTTGACAGCTGCCTTTTGCTGACATGGGTGAGTGAGAATATTTACAGGTATACTTTCGAAAAATGTATTGATCCCTGACTTTTACAGGTAGATTTTTTCAGGTAGATTTATTATTTAGGTAGACGAATTGGTACTAGGTTATAGTATATAATGGTTAATGGTGTAATTTAGAAGTAACTCTCAATTATGCTTGAAGAAGCTATTGTATAGCGAAACACGTGTCGCGGTTTTTGTAAAACCCTTATAGTGAAAATCATACAATAAACTGAATTGATTATTTTTTTATTATGGATTTTCATCAAGTATCGGCCAGTTCTATTCAGAAATGATTAAAACACTTCTCAAATTGATCAGCAAATAAAGGCTAATCAAATTGCAGTCTTCATTGCAATCAGTAAAAGAATATTCATAATTTGATTGCTCTCAGATAACATTAACTGCTTATAGTAATGAGAAATAACGCATCAAGCAGTTCAAACAACCGATTTTTTTTATTTGTGGACGGGTGTGGCAAACTGCAATTGCAACGTGCACAATTATTACCTACAACTTTCCCAATAACAAATTGATTGACTTTCTTTATTGGTATTGCATACATGTTGTAATCCACACATAATTCGATAAAAGTCTTGAAGACTATGAGATTTTCTTCTGAATTTAAATATGCACATGCATTTGCAGTTCGTTTTAGAAATTATGAAATGTGACGAATAGATAAAACCATAGGTAAGACAATTCATCCAATTTCAAGAATCATTTGTATTGAGGAAAGTAGTGAAACTTACGTATTCTTCATGTGCTGGTGCATAAACATCGTGACTCGGAGGATAACAGGACACATATGCTGATAAAACTAGTATACATACTACTTTCTGAAAAAAAAAAGATTTGGTCTATGATTTTTATGTAAGAGACTTAGTAAATATGGCTTACTAGCTGTTGCCCGCGGCTTCGCCCGCGTAGAATTTGTTTTGTCACATTAAGTTTCGTGACAGACCATTTTAAACGAAAAGTTACAATATTTTTTTATTAACCCAAAGCTTTAGGTTTCAAACTTCAAAACTGACGAAATTCAATGAAATCTTTGAACCCCTATTTTTCTCCATGCGGGTGGAAATTACTGATTTTCAACATATAATTATGTACTTTATAGTATAAAGTGACCTGATCCCTATTTTAAGAGACTGAACAAAATTAAACGTATCCTTCTATTGAACAGGAGAAACTTTGTCGATTTTGATATAATAAACAAACCTGGTATATCCACATCGCACTCAAAAATCAAGTTCAAGTTTGTTTAAACCTTCACGTAACTATTAACAACTACTTTCACAAACTGCCACTTGGTGAATCCTGTGAAAGATTTATAACATCTTCCGTTATCCCCTACCTATAACAAGTTTGCAAGAGTCCAGATACATACATTAATTTCAATAGGAGTCAGAAGGAAAGAGTGACGGAATTTACCTACTTCAGATTCAGCGGATTATTGAAGTTTGATAGGGTATATTGCCCAGATGGATATATAAATAATGATTCAGGGGTTTATTCCAAATCGGTAGAATGAATGAAATGTTGAATAGGCATATATTTGATTTACCAAAAAAAAACTCCGTTAAACTATTTAATATTCCAACAAGTAACGATACAATATCATGGAGATAATGTTGGACTGTATTCAATAAAAAAAACTATTGCCGATAATTTGTTCCAAAAATCTCTTTTCTCAAGGAGAGACAAGAAAGACAATGCTTAATTTTGAATGAAATGAGATTAGTTCCTATTTTGAACTGTTGTTCACTTTAGCTCTAGTGAACTAAATGTTCTGTAAGAAAAAGAGACATTTAGTATCTACTCAGTTTGAGACAAACTTATAATAAAAATACGAAAAAAGGTGTTATCGAGTGTGTATAAATAAAATCAAAAAGGGAGAGATATTCGACGGAACAGCACTCTAGAAAAGGGAACACCAAATCACGGACACGTGTTTCTGGTTATTGACCTTACCAGCGCGGTGCAGCCAAGTGTAAAGATGGCAACACTTGGTTGGCAAAAACAGGAAAACAACACAAACGAACGAAGTCATCAACAGGAGCCTACCGCACATTTGTAGTTTCAGTTAGGAGACCTAGAATTTCTAGGATACACCTAACATTGCCATGTAGGCAGCTACAGCTACCTGCGTGACTTCCGGATCCAGGAAGTGAATATAAGAAAAGGTGTTATCGAGTGTGTATGATTAAAATAAAAAAGGAGGAGATTCGACGGAAGAGCACTCTAGAAAAATAAGCTGCAAACCGCGGGCAGGTGTTTCTGGCTATTGTTCTCATCAGCGCGGTGCAGCCAAGTGCAAAGATGGCAATACTTGGTTGCCAAAAACACGAAAACAACCCAAACGAACGGATTCACCAATAGGAGCCTACCGCACATTTGTGGTTTCAGTTAGAAGACCTAGAATTTCTTGGATATACCCAACATTACCACATACAGCTACATGCGTGACTTCCGGGTCCAGAAAATAATTACAAAAAAGGTGTTATCGAGTGTGTATTATTGAAATCAAGAAGCAGGAGATTTGCCGGAACAGCAATCTAGAAAAGGGAGCAGCAAACGACGGATACGTGTTACTGGCGACTGACCTCATCAGCGCGGTGCAGCCAAGAGCAAAGATGGCAACACTTGGTTGCAGAAAACTGGACAAAAAACACAAACGAATGGAGTCACCAACAGGAGCCTACCGCCTAGTTAGGAGACCTAGAATTTCTAGCATATTCCTAACATTGCCATGTAGGAAGCTACAGCTACCTGCGTGGCTTCCGGATCCAGGAAGTGAATATAAGAAAAGGTGTTATCGAGTGTGTATGATTAAAATGAATAAGGAGGAAATTCGACGGAAGAGCACTCTAGAAAAATAAGCAGCAAACCGCGGGCAGGTGTTTCTGGCTATTGTTCTCATCAGCGCGGTGCAGCCAAGTGCAAAGATGGCAATACTTGGTTGCCAAAAACACGAAAACAACCCAAACGAACGGATTCACCAATAGGAGCCTACCGCACATTTGTGGTTTCAGTTAGAAGACCTAGAATTTCTAGGATACACGTAACATATCCACATAGGCAGCTACAGCTACCTGCGTGACTTCCAGGTTCAGGAAATAATGACAAAAAAAAGGTGTTATCGAGTGTGTATCATTGAAATCGAAAAGGAGGAGATTTGACGGAACAGCGCTCTAGAAAAGGGAGCAGCAAACGAGGGATACGTGTTACTGGCGATTGACCTCATTAGCGCGGTGCAGCCAAGTGCAAAGATGGCAACACTTGGTTGCCAAAAACACGAAAACAACACAAACGAATGGAGTCACCAACAGGAGCCTACTGCACATTTGTGGTTTCAGTTTGAAGACCTAGAATTTCTAGGATACACCCAACATTACAACATAGGCAGCTACAGCTACCTGCGTGACTTCCAGGTTCAGGAAATAATGACAAAAAAAAGGTGTTATCGAGTGTGTATCATTGAAATCGAAAAGGAGGAGATTTGACGGAACAGCGCTCTAGAAAAGGGAGCAGCAAACGAGGGATACATGTTACTGGCGATTGACCTCATCAGCGCGGTGCAGCCAAGTGCAAAGATGGCAACACTTGGTTGCCAAAACCACGAAAACAACACAAACGAATGGAGTCAACATCAGGAGCCTACTGCACATTTGTGGTTTCAGTTTGAAGACCTAGAATTTCTAGGATACACCCAACATTACCACATAGGCAGCTACAGCTACCTGCGTGACTTCCGGGTCCAGGAAATAATTACAAAAATGATGTTATCGAGTGTGTATCATTAAAATAAAAAAAGGGGAGATTTGACGAAACAGCGCTCTAGAAAAGGGAGCAGCAAACCACGAATACGTGTTTCTGGCGATTGGCATCATCAGCGCGGTGCAGCCAAGTGCAAAAATGGGCAACACTTGTTTGCCGACAACGGGAAAACAACACAAACGAAGTTAGGGTTTCAGTTTGGAGAACTAGAATTTCTAGGAGACACCTATAACAACAGAAGAAATATTGAGTATATACATGTGTTTGACGAATATTGAAATTAATTCTGAAGGTCAAGCGAAGAAATGAAACCAATATTTTGGTTAAAAAAGGAACGGCTGAGTTAAAAAGAAATAACCAGTTCATTACTGAAAATATATTTTATGTTCAGATCATGTGATTCTGTTTGGCTATCAGAAAAATGTAAATAATTGTGGAACACAAACCATTCACTGGTAGATGAGTTCAATACATGTTTTCCATTTGTTTCCAAGTAGACAGCAGGTAGAAGCCAGTGTTACGAAGCAGAATACCTCAAAGAACCCTGTAAAATTTCAAGGAATATCCTAAAATATAAAATGTAATGGCAGTGGGTGGTGATTATGTTATAATTTTTCAAAAATTTCATCCCCAAATAGTCACTCGCAAATCTAAAAAACAGTGTTAGTCTGAGATATAGCCACAAAAAAACAGACCGGCTATTAGGGTATTGTTGACAATGTTTCGGAAAAATTAGTACTTAGTTTTGTGGATTTTTTTGGAACACTTATGTCGATGAAAAGGTATATTTTTCGGGGTAACTAATTGACGTGCCTCAAAACAGTAAAAAAGAAAATGGCCAATGAGCTATTTCAATAACAATTTGTTATTCAAAGAATTTACTTCAAAACCTTAAATTTTTTGAAATATACTGAGAATCATTTTGAAACTATAGGTCATTACTATTAGAAACGTGTGTTTACTTTGGAATTTAAATTGGTCTCTGAATGCTTTTATACGTACGGATTTCCGCAGACTGAGAATACAATTATTTAATTTTCACTCCAATTATATAATTTCGGCATGTTTCAATTGTTGTTTTGAATAATAATTTATCTCACTCTCGACGAGCAAATGTTGCAACTTTGAAACGAAATCACTTTCTTCACTATACGGTTGTTTTAACATTTGGTCTTTGGGGTACTGGAAACAATTTAAATGAAACATTCGTATGGAATTCAGTGTGGCTGAAATTACTGGTTCATTGTTCCTGTGTATTTTGAAAAGATTTATTATTGGATGCACAGGGACATGGAGTTGTTTGATTGTCAGCCAAAACTTAAAAATTCAATAGTCCAGACAATAGGTATTTCAAACAAGAAAATTTTTGACTTGTTTCAGTTTTTCTCGCATTTTGATTAGGGATCATTCTAAATAATATGCTTGTTTTTGGAACATTATCGTTGTTAAATCCACTTCTATTCAGTAGCAATGACTTCCTAGACTTCAACAAAACGTCATTGAAATTCTTACATGGTTATTGACATTGCTAGAACAGAATCCATTTCATCACATTGGTATGATAAAAAAGGTCGATGAATAACCCTATTTTCTCCACAAAATGAAGCTTTCGTTGAATATTCAAAACACATACTTAAAGGAGATTCTGAGGGTGAAAACATCCAGGATTTTATTTTCGTGAGGGGATATGAACCCATAAAAATATTTTACAACAAAGGTGGACTAAAAAAATTACAGAAAAACCCCTATTTTTATGGAAAGTGAATGAATGAATACCAAGTTTTTAATGCAGCAAATATCTTCGAAATTCTAAGGGGTCAGAAGTCTTTAAACTCCTTCAGCCTCCTCGATTTACATTGAGTGATTCTTCAATGCGTCTATTTTGTACTTCGCAGATAGATGCAATTGTGGCTCAAAACCAGACGGCGCTGTTTCGACCGGCCAAGACCTCAGCAGTGATGCTAGGCTGGTGCTAGAGAGAAGGAAAGCAAGCTTACAACACCCGAAAGATTTTCAGATTTGATGGCATAATGATTATGCTCGAGTTCTGTCAGAAAGAAACAATTATGTCATCATTTATATCATCATTTATTATTATCAAGATTCCACGTTTCTTAATATTTTAGATGGATTAAATGAAAAATTCGGATAGAGAAGATAGTTTTCTTTAAATTGCTGTAATTTTTATATCGTGTCGTTTAAATTTGTGTTTAGCGGTTGAAAATACTGTATAGTACCCAAAATCTTAAAACGCATGAGAACTCATTTTTATTTGTAGTTTCTTGATCACCAACGGCTGATTCAATAAATTTGAGTAATTGGTCAAAATGACCCATATAACATACAGGGTGTTTCAAATCCGATCCGCACTATTGTGATCTCGGAAAGAATGAGAGATATGAAGATGGTTTCCGAGATCCCAATGGTGAGGATCGAATTTGAAACACCCTGTGTAATATAATGAATATAATAACAATGACAGGGAATACTTCTGAATGCTTTTTATATTCATTCTCACGAGTAAT